AAGCAACACATTATTCAATGCTTTTTACTTTTGCATTTACTTCTAGATTTATATATTAAGTTGCTCAAGCGAGTGGCAAAACATTTAAACTACTTTTCTTACGTTATCACAAACTTACCATTGACAGAAAGTCAGCTCTACTGCCTTTTCTTTTGCGTTTAAATATTTATTACAAGCAATCCTGCGGTTCATGAAGAACTTTGTTTTCCTACTGCCACGAGTGCCATCTATTATTGCCTTGTTTATCTAAATTTAGACTCGGTGCGGAAACGATCTCTGCACTGCCACAGACAAGCGCGCGAGCGCTGAATGGTTAAACACTGGCAAGAATTACAAAGTAATGCAATTTATAAACTTTAGTGACGATGTGACACTGCCTCGACTGTGCAAGTAACAATTCCTGCGTCAACTGTGCAGCTCGCATATAGTGCAGACGCGATTTTGAGAGAGAAAGAGAGAGCGTGATTCACTCACGAAGTTTGTGAAATTACGTCTCACACAAGGTTTTCAAATTACCGTATTGGCCCGAATATAAGACGACCCTGATTATAATAACCTCTCACAGCAGCGTCATCAGCTTGAGATCGTTTTTTTAAGATGGGCCTTTTTAGAGACCGCCGATCAATCATCCCAACGTGATTATCGGCCGATAATGATCGGTAGCCAATCAATCGGAGCACCCCTAATATCTAGCCACATAAACGGAGTTTGCAAAATAGCCAGTGTTGTGATTGTGAATATACTACCCAATCAACTATAATACCCAATCAACCTTGCCCAACAAATAAAGTGTTATTTCCATCATGTCTTTTTAACTCAAAACGCCTAGAGCAACAGAATGTGATTACGAAGAGTTAAAGCAGAACAAACACACAAATCACTTACAGGCCATTCGTTTCAGAACGCTTCGAATCATCCTCGCTGTCCTGCTTCAACGCTCACCTCGCTCTCAGCCGTCCACAGCTGTTTGTTTTGGGGTGAACTTTGCTCTGATTGGGAACTCAGAGACTCAGACGCTCGCTGGCAGCAGATTCGAGAGCAGAACAAACATGACAGGCACATTTCCCTGCACGGACCTCCACAATGGTGTCGTTGAAAATGTGTTCGGACACAGGGCTATGATGGAATGCCGCTCTTCTGCATCTATACAGCTTTAGAAGATAACACGGCTTAAAAAATGGTTGCATTTCCTAAAATAGTGACAACTTCTGTTAACTATAGGCTGGGGTGCATTTGGGATAAGATAAAGAGGCAAAGGCTCCAGATTCAACACCGCTGAAGCTCTGCTGAACCTGTTGAACATTAAATTAAATACAACATAACAGCTAAAAGGGGCCCTTTTGCAGTATAGGTGAACATAAACATAACAGTAGGCTGTTAAGCACTTCGTGAAATTGAAAATCTTTATTCACTCCTTATAGTCTCCTGGTCCATGCACATTGCTTTGATCAAATATACATTTATCCACTTATTATAAAGTGTCTTTCTAGAAAACAAACCATTTTCGTACAACTTTACGTGATTTTTTCTGATAGAATTCATCGTGAAATTTAATCGCAGCAGGGTAACAGGTGCATTAGAGCTAACATTAGCATCAAGCTACATAAGACTATTAATAATATTAATACTTCGCTTTTACTCAAATCTCACTTCAAACCACCACTGAGTGTTTGTAATAACTTCCGATTGCGATCTAATATGTATTTTGGTCATATAATGTTGTTAAAATAAGTTATTTGCTAATAGCTACACCAGCTTAGCATTTCTCATGTAAACATTCTTTATTGTTATGAAAATACCCCAAATCTCATGAAAATCACATACAAACCATATACTATCGTAATCATGTGTTAACTAGCTTCATGTTTCGTGTGTAGAAGCGTTTCTCTGGGTTTATGTACGGAACTGAATGCTTAAGAGATATGGAAGCTCGTCATCGGAAGAGACAGAGCAGGTTATGATCGGGTAATATGATTGACACATGAGCAGCGAATGAGCTTCATCTTAGTCATAACAGCGATCACGGAAGAGAAAAGGCAGGCAGGCAGCGCTGGAAGCAGCTAATACTCATCAGATCGCGTAAATCAGTGGAAAATGAATAGAAATGATGATTCTGTGTAAAGAAATATCAAGTAAACATATAAAGATATCAGTATTTCTCCAAATATGTGCACTTTTGGACTAAAAAGCCTAATGGACACTGTTCAGTGACGCTTGCACGTGACTGCTGTCTGAGTTTTGTCGACAACCAGAGGTGGCACAAAATTTGGCGGAGGCGGATGCCTTATAATTCTCTATGCAGGAAAAACCCTGCCTATGTATTATTTGAGCTGTTAATTTGTCTTTTTTGTCTTGTCTTTATTGGTGGGACAACTTTTCTAGACAAATTAACTTAGAGATGCACCGATCGACCGGCCAGGGACCGGAATTAGCCGATTTTCCGCATGATCAGCCCAGACCGGTGACTGATTCTGAGCCGATCTGTTTTGATGTCACACTTACGCTCACATTCACATGTAAACGCTGTCGGCGTGGAAGTTCTTCACTGTGAGTGAAGAAGACACAAAGTTCGCAATTTGTAATACGTGTAACCCGTGGTTAAATTAACGCTTTAGTGGATTTAGTAGGGCAAGTAAGAGATAATTTTACTGATTAAAACGTCAATAACAAAAATAATTAGGGAAGCACTGAAACTTGCCACCAAAGATTTTTGCGCAAAAATTATTCAGATTTTATTTCATGCAGTGTAAACGGGGACTGATAATGTATTTATGTCGTGCCAGAGGCTCCTGCAGCCTGAGTGAGTGAGTGAAATCAAAACAAATGAGCAACACAGAAAGTTATACATATGTTATATATATACGATTTTATGTAATGAATAAGAAGTTAAATTGAGTGACTTACGTTTTAGACACAATATTGACTGTTTTTGCTCAACTTCGCTAACGAAAACAGTTCAAATCAAAGCCACAGCAGAACTGTTGTTCTAAAACACAGCGGTGTTTCATTTCTGAATGAATCAGCTGTTTGAACGAATCGGTTGAATGAATGACTCAATGACTCACTCAGTGTATTAAAACAGTGTTTTGCCGCCACCTATTGATCGTTTTATTTCTACCTCTTTCCAGTCACAGAACACTGACAATGAGATTATACAGTAAATGAAAAGATGTCCTTTTATTAGTATATATCTTACTTCTTTACTTACTTGTTTATATCTTGTAATATAACCTAGAAATTATAACACAAACACCCCAAACTGAGATGCCGCATGCCTGTAATCTCATCAGCAGGCCTCTGTTCAGTTGTCTTCGTTACCTGTTGATAGGTTTGCGCTGCAACGCTCCATGTGTCAGAACAATCAAAAAGCCATGAAGCCCTGCGTAGATCTCACAACATGATAGACAGCACCAATCCAAAGCAGCCCATCCCACAGGCCGTGTAACCTACAGCACGAGCCGGCTCACTCCCAGAAACAAGCCGAAGCAGACAAAGACAGAAAGTGGGCATCACAGGAGCGTCGTCTTCAATACTGCTGAGCCAATCAGAATCGCCGACAGCGAGCGCTTACCAGAAACCAGTGCTGCTACAGGAAGAGGCCAGTGTTTAGGCCTTCGTGTGTCTGATCAGCACAGATTATCCCACACGGGACAAGAGGCTACTGAGAGTTTGGCTGATCACTCGCTCACACACACACACACACACACACACACACACACACACGTAGAGTTAGGTATCATTCGAATTTGATCAATTCCAATTCTGATTCCGTTTATCGATTCCCAATTTAGATTCCAATGTGGTTTCAAAAAAGATATCAAACATATTTATTTTGTGCCTCTTTTTGCAAAACATTTAATTGCTGCTGAATTCCATGAATAAAAATCAGCTGGCTACAATAAAAACTGGACTCCATTAAGAGCTGTTTGTGTGCAAAATAGAGCTGCATGATTCTGGATAAATTGAGACTTTTTTATTTTATTTTTCTTTTTTAAATGGAGGTTGTAGTTCTCTCACAATTCTGAAGAAAAAATATTAGACAACTAAACAAAACTCATGGAATTTATGCATGGAATGATTCAATGACTCACTCAAGATTTACTTGTTTCATTACTGGATGAATCAGTCTTTTTGAATGAATCTCTTGAATGAATGATTCAAAGACCAATACATTTTTAACAGCTAGGTCTCACCTCACTCTCCTTGTCAGTCAGCTCGACTCACTCTCCTCACTGGATAAATGAAATCTGATCTGTGATTGAGCAGCCGCGTTCAGCTTTTAATTGTAGTGTGTAACACCGTTTGTAGATCGGAAGGAGGAGGCGGGAACCGGCGAACGTTCAAACAAAACTTTAATAATAAAATAAACACAAAATAACGGACCAAAACACAAAATAAAATCCAGGCCTGGTCCTCTCTCGTCCAACACGGTCGTCACTCCTCCTTTTATCCTTCCGGAGCTCCTCCGTGGGACTCGAGACCGGTGAGTGGTGCAGGTGTCGTGCATTAGCATTTACTCCACCGGCCTCGCTCCGTTCCCACGGCTCTCGGCCCCGCCCCTCTCGTCACATAGTGTCTGTTCTTTTAAGGAACTAAATGATTTTTATTACTATAAAAAATCAAAACGACGGGGGGGAAGTGACGTAACCGGTGTTGCGGCTTAACACCGGTATAACCGTCAACACCGTCTATTGCGGCAAGCCTATTAACAGCCCTGATCCGCTATTAGGTTTACGATTTGTTGATAGAAATATGTTATTTACTGCTGTAATTTGAGGTGAATAGTAGGGGTGTGTGATATTGGAAAAAAAAAAGCTCTCTCAATATTTTTGGGGATTTTTTCGATAACGACAATTAGACGATATTTTGCAGAGTGTGTTATTGTGCTGATATCTGACTACCATGGACAGCTGCAGTTTTTGATATTCTATGTACTGGTCAGTTCACATCAGTGTTAGAAATTAATCTTTTCATATAAGTTTAAATTGATTTGTACCTTTTCTGGGCAATTTTATCTTTAATAAAGACTTTCTTTTTTAAAAGTGTGCATCTTTTGAGTCAAATTGTTACATTTAATCAGTCAATTACTTGTTAAACAAATGAAACCAGTATCAACAAAATTAATCTTTGCATCTGAAGTTGCATCTGAAGTGGATTTTAGATGTATTTACACACTATTTAAATTAGCTCAGAGGGACATGGAGTGCTTTAACCTGCAGTTACAAATGCATAATGTTTTGATATTTTAAACATAAAACATTGAATACTGATATCTGAAATTATTTAAAAAATGAAAAGGTACTTTAAATGTGAAATTAAAATCGCCAGTAGGTGGCAGCCAGTCACTGTTAATAAGTGAGTCATTGTGATTGAACCGAATCATTTAAACAGTTGATTCATTCAGGAACGAATCACCGTCATGTTGCTCAGAGACGCGAAACAGTGCTGTGGCTGTGTTTGGAATTATTTTTGGTTGGCGAAATAGAGCAAAAACAGGAAATATGGGGTCTAAAACGTAAGTCTCTTAATATTAACTTATTGTTAATTTAACTGTTGTCAAAAATCAATATCACATTTGTAATCATGCTTATTTTTGAAGAAAAACGGCACTCTTCGTGTGATTTTAACTATATGAAATTATATAAATGTGCATTTTCTGTCCCCATATCTTGAATTTTGTGATCTTTCTTAATGCATTTTATTAGACTGAATCATTTAGTGAAAGAACACTCTCTAAATGCGCACGCGCTCTAGTCTAGACTTCACGTAATGCATGCGTGCACTCCCGTAGGTGTTTTGTTTGGTTTTTGCAAAACACTCAATGTCAAATCGCACATCGTTAAAACAACAATTACGATATTATCGCAGATGATATATATCGCACACCCCTCATGAATAATGGAAGTTTTCCATGCACAGACCCAATTAAAGGAATACTTCACCCCAAAATGAGGTGAAAAGTGGAGGTTTTCCATAAAAGTTGCACGCACAGGAATTGATAGGTGGTGAAAAAG